GTCAATTCTCACCTTTAAATTCTTACCACTCATGTGAATATTTTTTTTTGATTAAACTCATTTGAATATATATATATATATATATAAAGTAAATTACTTATATAGTTTATAGAAACACTATGCATAAACTATATAAAGTAATAAATTATATAGTTTATAGAAACTCTAAATCCTAAACCATAAACCATAAATTTAAACCTTAAACCCTAAACCCTAGATCCTAAACCCTAAACCCTAAACTATATATATATATATATATATATAGATAGATACATTTGATAATTCACATATAGTTTATATAAACAATAGTTTATATAAATTATATATGTAACATTAATCTATAGTCTATAAACAATAGTTAATATATGTAACATATAGTATATGTATACATGTGAACTATATATGTAACTCATAGTACATGTATGTATAAACTATGTATAGTATATATATATATAACTTATAGTATATGTATATATACAATCTATTTATATGTTATATAAACTATATATGTAACCTATAGTTTATAAACAATAGTTTATATTAGTGTACTATATAGTTTATACTTTATAACCTATAGTATGTAATTTATAAACTATAGTTTATATTAATGTACTGTATAGTTTATATTAATGTTAATTATTTTAACTGTAATTTATATTAATATAGTATATAGTTTATAAACTATATACTATATTAATATAAATTATATTAACTATAGTTTATAAACTATACTATATAATTTATAAAATATAGTTTATATTAATATTAATTTTATAGACTATATTTTATATTAATATTAATTAAAAATTAAAAATTATATTATATTAATATAAGTTAATATTAATATTAATTATATTAATATTAATTATAATATATAATTTATATATAATTTATATTAAGGGCGGGAACTAATCATTAATGGCGGGAACTAATTTTAAGGGCGAGAACATATTCTCAAAAAAAAAATTAAGGGCGGGAACTAATCTTCATTTTCCATGTGGCACGTTTTAGTTTTCAATTTTCAATCATTATTGATTGTTGATATGCATTAATATATTTTCAATTGCCATTGTTGATTGTTGGGTCAAATTAAAATTACATAATAAATACTTATATTATTAATATTATTTTTTCTTTACATAAATTAAACTATATAATTTACATAAATTAAACTACATTAATTTACATTTAATCATTGTTCAATGCCAAAATTTTTATTAATCATGTTTTATATAATTTACATTTAAATAATTTTATTAAATAATTTTATATAACAGGTCTATTTATTAATTTAATTATCATAATAAATATTTTATTATAACATTTAAAAATAATCATATTATATTTTTAATTATATCATAAATTCAAAAACTCATAATTTTATTAAAATCTTATAATTTCGTCCATGGTAATATATAAGTCAGGTAAATGTAAGTCAAGTAAATATCAGATCAGGTCAATAACAAGTCGGATCATTTACAGGTCATGTTCATCATAGGTCAGGTTGAAAACAGGTCTGGTAATACCAGTTATTTACCAGGTCAATATCGAGTTCGGGTTCATATCAGTCGGATGCAGGTGGGGTTCGAGTATCATTTTTTTGGTTCAATTCAGGTTCAGGTCGTTCTCAGGTCGGCTGCAGGTCGTGTTCAGATCTATAATTTCCAGTCCAACTCGAATTTAGGTAAACACCAGTTCCGAATTGAGTCAGTTTCGGATCGCTACAGCTCAGGTTAAAAACAGTTTTGACTCAAATCGGGTTCAGTCAGTTTTACAGGTCGAGTCAACTTTTTCCAGCCCTACTCCAAAGTGATATTGTCGCTTCACCCATGAGTTAATCTACTGATTATTCAATGGCTTCTATCAGTTACAAAAAAAACTCTTTTAAAAATTAAAAATATAATATTTTTTTTGGATAAATTTAAAATTTATTACCCAAGATGCAGAGTTATTCTGTAGAAAAAATCCCAACAATGGGATAAAGAATACAAGATTATCCCAACAATGGGATAAAGGTGGAGCTGGGTATATGGGCTAAGGCCCGCGGGCTACCCGTTTAACCCGCGGCCCGTGCGAGCTTCGGGCCTCAAAAATTAAAGCTCGTTTAAATTATGAGCTTTTTAGCCCGAACCGTTAAACCCGCGGGTTTAATGGGTATAACCGCAGGTAGCCCGCGAAGCTCACAATAGCCCGCTTAATTTAAAATTTATAAAATTTTAGAGAAAATAAACTTAAATAATTTTATAGAAAAAAATAAATTACTTATAAATATGATGTTACTTATAACCATTGTCGTTCTTAAATTTATTAGGGCGTTTGTCATAATTTTACCGTTGCTTGATTTTTTTCCATTTACAATGTATCAAATTATTCTTCATTTTAAAAAATAAAAATTAAAAGATTTATATAGTATTTTAGTCTTATAAAATTTACATCATTATCACTTTGATATTTAAATATTTTTTATTTAATTTTGACCTTTATTTTTTTTCATGAAGTATGTTATTCATTTCATACTTTAATTATAAAAAGTCACGTGATATTCTAATAATATATCACATGACACATAATATTTGGATTAAAAATAAGAAAAAAAAGTAAAAGAAAAAAATTGAAAAATACTTTTCAACTTTTAAAGACTTTTAAAGGCTTTTACAAAATAAATATATTTTAACAAATTAATGACTTATATTTTATTAATTTTAATATAACCGTATCTTTCAAATTTACTTTTATATTGTAAGTATTTTATTTTATATTTTCATATTATGTTTTAGTCTTTCTCTAAAGTATACATAAAATACAATTATTAGGATCACTTGACAACTTTCTTGTTAGATTTGTATAATGTTTGACTTTGTTGAATTTTTATGTTTGAATTTATGCTTGCAGCTATGTATCTTCATGTTATAGCCTTGAATAATCGTGTTTTATAAAAGTATAATGGTTATTGTTTTATTTGTTTTTCAATTTGGTGATATAAGTGAATATTGTTTTTTTAAATTTGAGTTTAAGTAATTATATCGTTATATATATATATTAATGATTAAAAAATTAAAAAAAACATATTATTTTATAATCATTTCGGCTATTTAAAATAAAATTTAAATATTATTTATTATTTTGACAGTGCTACCTTCCTTTTCAAGTTGCTGGATCATTTTTAAAGGTGTAGCAAGTTAGAATATTATTTTTATTGCATTTAAAGCATTTAAAATTGTTGTTATTTAACGGGCCGCGGGTAAGCCCACGGGTTAAATGGATAGACCGTGGGCTTTAAAATTAAAAACTGTTTATGAATGCGGGCTTTTTAAACCGCTTCGTTTAAGCCCGCACCGTCAAAACCCACGGGCTAAACGGGCAGGTAGCCCGTATACCCAACTCTAGATAAAGGACTGCATACTTACAACATAATTGGATGGTCAACACTCCAACGATTATAAAGGTAAATATTAATATTATCTAATCTATTTATATTTATTCCTCTTAATTGGATACATACAATCTCCTTAATAGAGTTCAACATTTATTTCACACTTCTTATGATTACTCGGTACAGTCTTCTGTTTCTTTCCTCCCACAGTGAGTATATTAAAGTACACCAAACAAGTTTCAAGATAGTAGTGAGGAGAGACTTACCTTTCCAAGCACTACAACCCGTCTAACATAAACATAATATATATAAATGCAATTAAAAGTGTTTTGTTCTCTCTAAAATTCTAAATTCGATCAATTGTGTTTGTAAGTTATATTATTAGCAATTAAAAATATATTAAACAAATAATACTTTGTAATCATCTCAAATTATTTAAAAAATTATATTTTTATGTCATGATCAAATTGAAAATTAAATTGACATAATATTTTGACAGGTATAATATTGACATATGTGAATTTAATTATTTTAAAGTTTGAGACTAATTTAAAATTTGTATAATAATTTGGAGGCATTTAGTGAATGAACCCAAATATTTTTGAGCCGATAGGACATTTGATAAAATGGGAAGATTATTTTGTTATAAAGGCGTCTTTTGTCACGTTGCACATTTTTAATTTTTGGGTAAATTGTATATTTAGTATTTAAATTATTATTATATTTTGTTTTGATATCTAATTTCTTTATCAAGAGCATGTTAAATATTTATTTTATATTTTAATTTGGTATTCATTATTAAAAAATTAACAAAATTACTGACTTAATATTTTTTAATTCTTTTAATTATAATGCGAACTTTCTGACGATACATTAAAATCATTATTAAATTTTTAACGATAAATTCAAAAATAAAAATTAAACTAAACGTTAAGTGTAATTTTAAAAATTAATTTATATTTTATTACATTGCCGTTTTCTTTGACGTCCCATCAACTTTTTCTGGTAAGAACCGCTTTAATGTTTTGCGTAAAGACGGATAATAGTTTAAGTATTAAAATGAATTTGGAAAAATGTTTAGACATATATAACTTAAGCACCAAATAATGAATTAAATCACATGATAAAACAAAAAAGAATCTCTTCTCTCATTCCTTTGCTAATCCTTACGTTGTCAGTTTATTTGCTGACTCTCCATTTTAAGATTTTCTCTCTCTCTTATTTTATTTCCCCTTAAATCATTTTGAATTTTGATCTTCAAAAAGGCTTCTTCATATTTCAAGTTTTATTTTAACTCCCAAAGATCCGTAATTCTCTTGAAACTTTGATCTTATCGCTGCTCAGAATCGATCGTTTGATTATTTATTTGTACAGTAATGGTTCAAGTTTTTATTTTTTTGACTCGTTTTTTTTTTGTTTTTGTTTTTTTAAACAAAAAATGAATTGATGCTTTAATTCTTATAATTGGATCATCCGAGGTCTTAAAATATGTATATATCTTCTGATCTCGTTTTTGGATGGTCTTAGTTTATAAATTGGGTAGCTTGGTGAAATCCCTTAAAAATTTTATGAAATTACTATATATGAATATCTGATATTGATTTGTTTTGTTTTAAATATGGGCTAGGTGATACAAGAGGTAAAGATGTCTTTGCAAGGACCGGTGATTTGCCCTGCCGTTCGTAGCAAGCAAGTTGGTGTTTATACGCTGCCGTTTAATAGCCCTTTTCCGAGGGCGAGATTGCATCGAAGTGATATATGGGGATTCAGAGGGATAATTGATGGAAAGTGTAAGCCACGTGTCGTTTCCGGTCACCTGAAGCTTCGGAAGCGCAACACCACGGTACACTGTATTTTCAGTTCATCCTCAGATGGGAGTGGAAGCATGGCTCAGAATTTCAATGAGAACGATGAAGATTATGTTACTTCCAGTGTGGTTGAAGCTGGTACGTGGGTTCTAAACTAATGATTACTTCATTTTTGTTGTCGTTGTTAGTCGGCTCTTTGAATTCGATATAGACTTGGTTTATTTATGTGGATTGTAGAGAATTGTTGATATGATATGATATGTTTGTTGTGATTGTTTCATATAGTTGAGGTGAGGAGTGGAGCTGATGGATTTATGATCAAAATGAGGGATGGTAGGAATTTAAGGTGTATCCATAACAATCCTCATGGTGGGCAACTGCCTGATTATGCACCGCATCCCGCCATCGTTCTGAAGATGGAAGATGGGACCGGTCTTCTTCTCCCGATCATTGTTTGTATGTGATCATCTTTCATTATCTTCCGATCGTTCGACTCTGTTTATTAGCTTTAATGTTCTCGTTTGATTTCGGTTATTGTTTTAATTGCAGTGGAGATGCCAAGTGCACTGCTCATGGCAGCAGTGCGTAATGTTCGAATAGTATGTTCTCGTTCTGTTTCCCATTTACTCAGAGTTCTTATTTTTCTGAATGTTAATGCTAATATATGTTTTGACTATTGTTTCCAGGCTAGACCTACTATGTATGAAGTGGCGAAGAACATGATTGACAAGATGGGCTACATGGTATGCTTCATTTCCACCTCTATTTTACAGACTTCTCTTTGCTCCTTTTCGATCTGATAGAGAATGTGTGAAATTTTCACTTGTTTTTGCAGGTAAAACTTGTTAGAGTTACTAAAAGAGTGCATGACGCCTATTTTGCTCAGCTGTATCTTACCAAGGTATCTATGTTCCACTATTAGCACATTTTTCTGACGTTCAACGCTTGGTTATTCATGTAGAGCAGTCTTCACTGAATCGTGTTGGATGTTCTTACAGGTGGGTGATGAGACAGAGTCCATCACTTTTGATCTTCGGCCTTCTGATGCCATAAACATTGCCGTGAGATGCAAGGTATCCGATATGTGTTAGTCTAATCTATAGTATAATTCATTTTTTAACAAAATTATGAGATACCGTCATGTTCCTTGTTGAAGCATATTAACATATTTAACTAGTGATTGTTTTGACATTTTGCTTTGAACTCTTGCTAAAAGTATTTCCCAACGGCTAAAATGTAAGGTGGTTCATCGTCGTTGAGGAGAAAGAATACCTAAGATATAGTTTTCGTTTTGTCTCGAATGTCTAAACCAGTTTAGCAATTAAGAATACCTCAGAATAAATGTTCGGGCTTTGTCAGAAATTTCCCCCCCCCCCCCTTGAAGTATCATATTTCCTTGAAAGAGATGTAAAGATCCTGAAAATTTGGCTTACTCATTGTCATCAATGTCATCTCACAAATGCTTTATCCTATATAGAGAAGCATTACACATGTTCTTTCTCTCTTTTAGATTTTTTGTGATTTATGGTTTAAATGTATAATTATAATTATATATTTTTTGTTCATATTTGTGGCTGATTAAATTCCTACTGATAATCCGAGTTTATAGGAAGTGTCCTTGATGTGTTGTGCAGGTACCTATACAAGTGAACAAGTACTTGGCATACAGTGATGGTATGCGCGTAATTGAATCAGTGAAGCTGTCAACGCAGTCCCCAGGTTCAGATGGTTTATTAAAGGAGCTGGATCGGTTAGTCTTGAAACCCCTTTAGGATATTGCTTTTGCCCCTTTATTGAGAGAATAGAACATGTTATCGCTTGCAGTTGCAGGATATTCTTGTTTATGAATCTGTAGACCTAGAACATAACTTGTTTTAAATATATGGTTTCAGGCCAAGCGATCAGCATTGTCTCGATACGGAGGAATTCAACATTATCTGCAACTTAAACAAGGCTGTCATTCAGGAGCGCTACAAGGATGCTGGTTCGTCCTTCGCTTTCTTCTTCATCGACTGTCAAAAACATCACTCTTATCTATTCAACTGTAATTCAAAATCAAGTAAAGGGATCACAAGCTCATCTGATGTCTCTGAAGTAACGTGCTGTAAATTCTAATTGTAGTCTCCCATCCCCCCATCATTTGCCTGCATTTTTTTTCCTTTGTTAATTTTAACATATTTAAGATTCTAATACTCCCTGACAGCCGACTTGAGAGATGAACTCGGCAAGTTTCGTGCTCAAAGGAACTCGAGGAAAATATAAATACCAGGTGATGTTAATAACTCGGAAGTAGATTGGATCTTTAAGGTGTAACCGGTTCATAATATCGGTCTCCTGCACTCGTCAATTGAAACATTAACAAGTTGTTAGTTTTGTCTCAGTTGTTGTATGGGCAACTTCAAATGTAAATAGGAATTATTGTTGGAAGCGACATACAGCAGCAAAGCAATCAGTTTAGTTATCTTCTGCTAAATATGAATGTAATGTCTGTGAGTATATATATATATATATGTACATATGCATAAGAAAATGGGAGTGTAATATGTTCTAATGAAGAACTTTGGTTTATGCTTTATCAGTGTATCATGTTTCTACTCATAATATATTGGGTTAAGTTTAAACCCAATCCTGTACCCCCTGAAGTATATGGAGCAAATTTAAGTATGCCGTATGGGTCATATATTCATAATTTCTATAAAATTTGAATATTCATAATACTTTCTTTGTTATTATTTATGTTTATTTTACGATTAATTCTTCTGTTTTTGTAAATTTTCTTCCTAAAAATGTTGTTTCCAAAAGGTCGAATCTGAGAGACTTATTGGATGTGAACGGCAGAACCTGGTGAGTGACTCAGCACAGGCTGAGTCTACCAAGCACAACAATCCACCACGAGCTGGTTCATTCCCAAAGACATTTGAATATTTATAATATTCACAATATTAACATATAATTTTGTTTTAGTCTATTTAGCATTTGTATTAAACTGGTATTGTTTGAATTAAATATAAATTAATTTTATTAAAAATAAAAAAATTACAAGATACGTATAAGCCTATGAATTAAGAGAAATTAATAGATTTATATTTATTTTTGAATTTTGTTGGTATATTCCGATCATATTTGAATGTACATCTGAACTTACAAAATACGTTTGCAGTATATCGATTGCAATCCCCGGGAGAAGCTGCAGTAGCTCACTGCCTTTGAAGTCTTTCATAATGCGTAAACTGTTAACCAATAATATGTATTGCCATTTTTGTATGTAACCATCTATTGGGACTTCGAACTACTGATATCATAAATTTGTTATTTCGAAAAAGAACATTCGTATCAGATAATATTCATTCTTTTATATAGAAAAGAAACCTTTAAAACTACAACTACAATAACAAATTCCAACAATGCATTGATACAACTACGATCAAAATCAATTAACAAAATGTACAGAGAAAATTACAAATAAAATTAATATATTTGTATGACTAACAACAGAATCAATCGTCCATAATACGCAAGACGGACTGATAATCAGAATATACCCGGATCTAGACCAGAATAAATCGGACAATTTAAAATTTATCGTAACGCGGGGAAAATGCTATATACTAATCCAGCTACTACGGAGATATGGATTTTTAAGTCCAGTTCCAAAGCAAACTAGAATACATAAGATCCTAATCATAGAATTGTAAAGATCATCCCTCCAACATGCCATCATCTTCTAGCATGTCTTTGGAGTTTAAATCATAACATCTTCCCGTTCCATGCTTCTTCTTGTACGTACATCTTCTCAACATTTGCAGTCCCTATGCTTATAAATGATGCATGCATTCAGAATGTCTTGAACTTCGTAATGATCTTAACCAAGATAGCATCGGTTACAGTTACTAAAATTTAGGAAGGGGCAGGGATAATAGACGCTACATTTACCTTATGCCAGGAGCATTGGACAGAGCAGCTTTACCGACAGGATAATACAGCAGCAACAGCAAGACTTCAGAATTCTTATGACGACATTGTGACAGTTCGAAATGGAACATACCAATATAGCAGTTCCTCTGACTGACACCTCACAGGAAAAACTCCCAAGTCATTAGGAAAAATCCTTTCTATTGCTAAAAATGAGATCATACAATACATGTCATCAATTCTATGAGCTATATTACTTGAGTTTCTAAGTACGAGTAAGCAGGTTTTTGTATCGTAAAGAGAACACGTGAGAGTGAGTTCAATACAAACTTGGTGATTGCTTGGAGCTGAATGGGCAAAACTCAGACTTATACCATTCATTTAGGTCCTCTCAAGCCTTCAACTTTAAACTAAACAATTGCGGTACAAGCAAGCCTTCACAACAGTCCCAAAACAACCAGTTTCTTAAGGACAATTACCAAATTAGATAATGATATTCAGCAACTAATGCAAAAGTTTCAAAGTTTCTAAGCTAATGAAGCTGGAACCCAAAGAGTTACCTGTTTTATCCTACTTGAATATTCGTGGCTTTAGGTTACGCTCTTAAAATATTTTCTTCTCTGTTACTACAGTGAAAAAAAAAAAAACAGGTTGTTGTTAGGCAGGCACTGGACTAGAAGTTTGAGTTGCCTTACCCACGAGACCAAGTTTAAGTGCAGGACTCAAGGGTAGTCTAGAAATATCTTCAGAATAAAAAGGGCTGAGAAAGCTAATGACAATTTGAGAAGCATTGAAATGTCTTTCTCATACAAAATTCTGGAATTAACTGAAATATTAAATAACATTTAAGTATTGAACACATACCTGGCAAGCAAAAAATGTGTTGAAACTCTAGGAAACTCCCTCCAATGGTCCAAGCATTTGCACTTGTCATCTCCAGCGCTGTTTGGACAAAAGGTCCATAAAAGTCCAATGCAGACAACCTACAGCTAAATGATTTCAGTTAGCATAAACTTCAAATTAAGAATCAGAATCATATATTTTGCACATATCCCAAAACATGGTAGAGTTTCCTTCAAGAGGTCATTTCTTCAAATCATATGCTGTGATGAACGAGATAATGAAGAAGAGAAAAGAAAGAGATTTCAGAGGAGAAGCAGAAAGGGTTTAAGAAATTCAGAATTCATTTCAAGAAATGATGCATAATCCTTCCTTTTCCAGGTACAATAATTTTATACCGTGTACTACCAAATCTAACAAGCCAGCTGGCTTAGATTCTAACTAATTCTGTTACTGCATATTATCTTAGGCTTGGTGGACTTCTCTGTTGGGCTCAAGGCTGCTGGGTCTTCAAATATTAATGGGTTTAATGACCCGTGCTCCTCACGTGACCTTTACTTTCATCAGGTAACAATCCCAATTCCTTCAGCAATCCCTAACCCTCGTTTATCATTTTCCCCAATTCTCTCTTCACCTCCCCGAACGTCCTCTCCTCCTTCCTCATCTCCTTCTCCAACCATGACAATACCCGCTGCTGGAGCAGATCCTTGTCCCCAAGGATCAAAGTTAGGAAACTGTCCCTTAAGAACAGTATAGTCCTCCCAAGTATCGCACGAATCATCTAGATTTTTCCATCTCACCAACAACTGAGTAACAGGTTTGTGTTTCCTGTTAACAATTCTTCTTCCCATGACTTGCAAAGGTTCAATTTTAATTTCACCTTCCTCTGTCATGTCAGGAGGATCCGTAGAAGAAGGGGCTAACTGTCCCATGTGTTTCTTCAAAAGACTCACATGGAAAACGGGATGTAACCGTGATGTCTCAGGTAAAGCCAAACGGTAAGCAACCTCACCAATCTTTTCTGTAATTTTGTAAGGGCCATAGTATCGGGCTGCTAGCTTTAAGTTTTTACGCAGAGCCAATGTTGTTTGGCGATAAGGCTGTAATTTCAGGTACACTTCCTCTCCCACTGCAAAATTTCTTTCTGATCGTTTTTTATCAGCTTTTTGTTTCATGCGATTGGCTGCCTGTTCTAAATTAAATTTGACTAGTCTGCGAATGTCATCTCTAGTCTTCATTAATTTACTGACAGAATGCACTGGTGAGTCTGATTGCCATACCATTGTAGGAGGTGCATATCCATATAGAGCTTGAAATGGTGTCAACTTTAGGGCTGTATGATAGGTGGTATTATACCACCACTCTGCATGAGATAACCATTTAGCCCACTGCTTTGGTTGGGAGAAACACAACCCTCTTAGATACTGTTCAAGACACTGATTCACCCTTTCACTTTGTCCATCCGTCTCTGGGTGGTAGGCAGTACTAAATAGAGTCTTAGTACCTAACTTCTTCATTAGTTCTTTCCAAAAAAGACTAGTGAAGGCTTTATCTCTGTCTGAAATGGCCACTTTAGGCTGGCCATGCAACTTATAAATGTTGTCTAAGTAGAGTTTAGCTACTTCAGCAGCAGTATAAGGATGTGATATTGCCACAAAATGACTGTATTTTGTGAACTTATCCACCACCACTAAGATACAGTTCTTCTTCAAAGAAGTAGGTAAACCTTCTATAAAATCCATAGTGATAATTTCCCAGGCCTGTTGAGGAATAGGCAGTGGCTGAAGTAAACCAGGTTTAGCAACATGCTCCACTTTAGTTTGCTGACATACTGGACAAACCCTCACATAAGTAGCCACCATTGCCTTAAGTTTAGGCCAATAAAAGTAACTTCTAATTCTTTGATAAGTGGCCTGAGTTCCTGAATGACCTCCATGAGGTGAGTCATGTAAAGTTTGAAGAATCTGTAGCCTAAGAGAGCCTTTAGTACCAATATAGACCCTGTCTTGAAATCTGAGAATTCCTTTGGAATATTTCCACTTAGAATCAGCATTAGGAGACACAGTCAGAATAGAAATCCACTCAGTAGCCAAGAAATCATCCTTGTAACTCTCCTCCACTTCTTGTACCCAAGTAGGAATAACTAAAGTAGTTCCCATGACAAGACACTGAGCTTGGTCTTCCCATTGCCTGGATAAAGCATCTGCCACAATATTGGATATACCTTTCCTGTATTGGATAGTGTAATCCAATCCCAATAATTTTGTCAGCCCCCTTTTTTGAATAGCAGTAGTGAGTTTCTGCTCTAATAAGTATTTTAAAGGCTCATGATCAGTTTTGATGATAAAAGGTTTGCTCTCTAAATAGTGTCTCCACTTGGAGACTGCTAATAAAATAGCAAGGTATTCCCTCTTATAAATAGACATAGCAGCATGGCATTGACTGAGAGCTTTACTTAGAAATGCTATAGGTCTGCCTTCCTGTGATAAAACAGCCCCTATGCCTCCAGAACTAGCATCAGTCTCTAAATAAAAAATCTTAGTAAAGTCTGGTAGAGCTAACACAGGTGCCAAACACATAATTCTCTTCAGTTCTTCAAAAGCAGTCAAAGCTGCACTGTTCCATTTAAAACAGTCCTTTTTCAGCATCTGAGTTAAAGGTTTACTAATTGCCCCATAATCTTTTATAAATCTTCTATAATATCCTGTCAACCCCAAAAATCCCCTCAATGATTTTAAGGATTTAGGTAAAGGCCAATTTCTCATTGCTTCTATCTTG